GGAAAGGCATGGGAAATCATCTCAGGGAGGGGGATGCATGATAGGGGCTAGTGGGATGGCAGGGTGGGTTCTGGGTGTGGCAGGGGCCTAAAAATGGGTTGGGTGGGGCTAGATATGCATGCTAATAATTGTCATGGCCCCCATGGGGTGCGGGAGGGGCTGGGGGAGCCAAAAACACGAAAAATCCAGAGACTTTCACATTTTTAATACAAAACAATTGAATAACAAATTGAAAACTGAATATTTCATTGCGAAACTTTGGGGACCTTTGTATCTATAGTGGAGGGTGCTTCACAAGTATTTTGAGTATTTATTATGAATTATGGGGTGCGCCACACAGCCAGGAACAGTGTGTGCAGTGGGGTTTGATGTGCTTTGCCAAATTTGGCAATATTGTGATGCCTGCATATCTGTGCATAATTCTGGCTCCCCCTGGCATTATTTCGCTTAGCTTTGGCTGAGCGAGATGTTGGGTACATTGATACCTTCCTGTAGACCCTTCAATCATGTGAAACGGGTGAGAACTCATTGAGATATGATGAACACGATTTTGGCTACTATAATGCATGGTGCACCCATGCATCCTTGGGCACATTTAGGACCATTTCACTTGGCCAAAAATCATGGATTACATGTCTGAGAGTAATAGTACCATTGATAATGCCAGGGGGTGTCTGGGTGTAGTAGATCTGAGAGGGGGTATAGGTACACCAGGAGCCCCACTCTGGATACCCCACTAAACATACCTCTGAAAGTCTGAAAGTTGGTACGTGAATAGTGTATATTTATTCATGAATTTAACATATTTTATCATAATTTTATATTGCCTGGAAGTTGGGTTATTGACCGATTTCCCACGAGCTGAAATATTCTATTGACCTCCAGGATGGGGGATATTGGCACATCTAAAATCATGATAAATGACAATAAATGTATAGAAACAGATCTAGTGTAAAGTTATTAAGGGGAGAAGGATGAGGTAGTCCCCCACATGAGGATCTATCTATATACTTGCCAAATCTGCGTATCGCACCCATTAAACGGTGCGTTCGGGTTAGGATAATGTCTGTAAGGATATTTTAATAGTGACAGATGAGGCTCCAATGCCCAGGGGACATGGTATTAGAGAGTGAGCTGAAAATGCACAAAAAATATGAAAATAATTAAAATGGGTACCTCGGACTTGTTCAAAAATTACCAAACTTCATATATGAGGACCTATTAACATTCTGAGGGGACTGCAAAAGACTGGATGAGATTCCAACCAGTAGATGCAAAGATATGCGAAAGGGTATCACAAGGACAGTAAGAGCAACAACATCCTGTAACAACTTTGTGATGCAAGTGGTGCTTTTGGAATTCATTTTGCATATCTTTGCATCTACTGGTTGGAATCTCATCCAGTCTTTTGCAGTCCCCTCAGAATGTTAATAGGTCCTCATATATGAAGTTTGGTAATTTTTGAACAAGTCCGAGGTACCCATTTTAATTATTTTCATATTTTTTGTGCATTTTCAGCTCACTCTCTAATACCATGTCCCCTGGGCATTGGAGCCTCATCTGTCACTATTAAAATATCCTTACAGACATTATCCTAACCCGAACGCACCGTTTAATGGGTGCGATACGCAGATTTGGCAAGTATATAGATAGATCCTCATGTGGGGGACTACCTCATCCTTCTCCCCTTAATAACTTTACACAGAATACTCCCCTTGCCCTCAAAAGTACCTAGATCTGTTTCTATACATTTATTGTCATTTATCATGATTTTAGATGTGCCAATATCCCCCATCCTGGAGGTCAATAGAATATTTCAGCTCGTGGGAAATCGGTCAATAACCCAACTTCCAGGCAATATAAAATTATGATAAAATATGTTAAATTCATGAATAAATATACACTATTCACGTACCAACTTTCAGACTTTCAGAGGTATGTTTAGTGGGGTATCCAGAGTGGGGCTCCTGGTGTACCTATACCCCCTCTCAGATCTACTACACCCAGACACCCCCTGGCATTATCAATGGTACTATTACTCTCAGACATGTAATCCATGATTTTTGGCCAAGTGAAATGGTCCTAAATGTGCCCAAGGATGCATGGGTGCACCATGCATTATAGTAGCCAAAATCGTGTTCATCATATCTCAATGAGTTCTCACCCGTTTCACATGATTGAAGGGTCTACAGGAAGGTATCAATGTACCCAACATCTCGCTCAGCCAAAGCTAAGCGAAATAATGCCAGGGGGAGCCAGAATTATGCACAGATATGCAGGCATCACAATATTGCCAAATTTGGCAAAGCACATCAAACCCCACTGCACACACTGTTCCTGGCTGTGTGGCGCACCCCATAATTCATAATAAATACTCAAAATACTTGTGAAGCACCCTCCACTATAGATACAAAGGTCCCCAAAGTTTCGCAATGAAATATTCAGTTTTCAATTTGTTATTCAATTGTTTTGTATTAAAAATGTGAAAGTCTCTGGATTTTTCGTGTTTTTGGCTCCCCCAGCCCCTCCCGCACCCCATGGGGGCCATGACAATTATTAGCATGCATATCTAGCCCCACCCAACCCATTTTTAGGCCCCTGCCACACCCAGAACCCACCCTGCCATCCTC